GTAAAGTGCTTGAATAAGACATAGAATGATTAAGTACCTTTACTTGGTTATGAATAAATGTCATTAATTGTGAAAATGTGGGTATTTCATTTTGATTAGAGCCTTGTTCAAAAGACTTTCTTGTACTTGGGTCTAAAGCCCTTAAAGCAATATGACACATAATAATGCTGTTTAAATCTTGTATGTTAAGCGCTTCAATGGCCTTATATGAATTCTCAAATGTTTCTATGAACAAATTTAAATTATTTGAGGACTCTTTAGTGAGTGGAGAAAATTTTTACATTTTATCAAGTATCTTCCGACAAGCAACCTATTATCTTGATATTTATCAAGTAAGCTTTTCCATACTAAATCATAGTTGTTCGCAGAAATTGGAATGCTTTTTACGATATTTAATGCCGAACCTTTAGTACAAGATAACAAATAATGTAATTTATCTATCTTCGAAATATTAGGTTGGTTATGAACCAATGAACAAAATGTTTCATAGAAGATGGTGAAGTTTTCTAACTCACCGTCAAAACAATAAAGTTCTAACTTCGGCAGACGTGGCCGAGATTCAATGGAATTATTATTATGGACCTTAATACTTTCAACAGAGGGTTAAGCTTGGATGCAAATAATTTCGTTCGAAAATATAAATCATCGAAATTTTTTAACTCTTGATTTTGTAATGAAGCATCCGATTTAAATTTAATTTCTTGCTCAAAAATCTTAAAAATACATGCCCCAAATGATTTTCTTAAATCATCCAACTCGTTGACACGCATTAAAAATAATTCCTTTGCGTTAATATTGAAAGGTGGCTTGATTAAATCGTAAAGACTTTGCATTTGTTAAAAATATCTTTCTTTACGAGATATTAAAACGTAATATTCTGAAGGTATTTCAACGTCGTCATAGTGAACTTCAGAAGACCCAGAGGGTTTCGTATTTTTAGATTTAGACATATTGAAGTTATGTAGTTAAATGCAAATGAATAAAAATAACACTTTCTGTAATAAAAATAATAAAATAAAATTTGACGAATGTGTTAAATGTTCTAGAAGCTTCGATAAAAACTATTGTAAGGTAGTTTGACATAGAACGTCTATGTAACTTAATGAAACGATTTTTAGCTTGGGCTAAATTAATGTTATAGTTCTAAATATGTATTAAAGAATTTAAATATGGAACAGTCGGCTCGAAGACCAAAAAATTGTGCGTATGTCGCACTGAAAATTGCGTTTATTACGCTGGTTCAGGGAATTTGATTTGAAAGTGGACTGTATAGGTTTTTTACAATAGAACATTGATGAAAGGTAGATGAGTCCTCGCAACACAGAGACAGGTAATCTGAGCTTCACCAACCTTAAAATCGACCCTCGCCACGGACGGAAGCCAACCTGCAGACGCACGGCGTTCTGGGCGGTGGAGCACTGTCAGAGTATGCTCAGAGCTGATGCTGATGATGATGATGGTACGCGGAGCACGGCTACACGCGCGAATTATAGCAAAAGACACTCCCTGAAAGCGTGCGCGACACACGGGTGTGCGCGATGAGCGTCGCCGGGCAAGTGGGACTTGCTCCGACCATTGAACGATGGTAGGAAATAAAGTTGGCGAAGCAAATGTGAGAATACCCGCCAATATTTTTACAAGGACTGAACACAGTATTATATTGAGTTGAAATGTCGCGTGACGTCACTTTTGAGTAAAAATTTTACTCAAGCGTGACGTATCGCGCCATTTCAACTCGATGTAGCACTGCTATTATTTAATTATGAAAGAAAATAAAAAATATGAGTCTAATATTTTCTAATTACTATCTGTCTGACGGACAAATAATTGAAATTTTGTCATCTCTAAACTTTAGCATAAATTGGTGATTGAGTGTTGCAAATAAAGTGTGATCAAATAAACCGCCAACAAAATAAATTGAATATCTGGGATAAGAATTTACAATACAAATGTAAATGGCTGAACAGATTAATTTAAAATTTCATTATTTGTATTGGTTGCTGTTGGTATTCCGAATAAAATAAAGTAAATGTGTTAAACCATGTTAAAATGTATATACCGTATGTATGTGACTTTGTTGGTGTACCTAATAAATAAATAAATAAATACAGGGTGAAATTTTGTAATGCCACCTGGAGAGAAAGTAAGTTCTTAAAACTGTAGATAGAAAGTTCTATTTTTGAAAAGAAATAGAACTGCATTCAAAGATTTCCAAAAAATTGCATGCCACACCCGGGAATCGAACCAACTAAAATCTGTCAAAAATTATTTTTATTGCATCGATCGTTAGGGTTAAGTATAAGGATGAAATATCTCTAACAAACTTAATAAATCAAATGAAAGGAAAACCATGAAATCTTAAATTATTGTAATAATTTTCAGAACATTATAACATGGCACAGTGTGTTATGGGACTGTATAAACGGACATTCTCATTGATTTGATGAAACGTATAGAGCTCAGTTATACAAACATGATAGTAAAACTCCCGTTTGAAAATTCCACGTGGTTTTCGCGGTATAATAATTCAAAGTTACCTATTTTTTTACTTAAAATTATGCAAAAATATTCTCACTCGTTAACTAATAACATTTAATTCAGAATTGTTATAATACTTCATAGAGCTCTTAAAACTACACGTAATAAGCGTATTAAGTGCTTCGTAAACGCATTCAGTTAATTAGGAAAAATGATTTTAGTGATTTTTGTTTTTATTTTTTTTCTCCATTATCTATACTTATAATAAATCTGTAGAGAGGTCAATTCTGTACATGAAATATATTTTCAAAATAACTATCAGGGGTGATTAGTGATCGATACTGATGCCAAAAATGCAATCAGTAAAATTTTTGTCTGTCTGTCTGTCTGTCTGTCTGTCTGTCTGTCTGTCTGTCTGTATGTTCCTTATAGAAACAAAAACTACTCGACGGATTTTAACGAAACTTGGCACAATTATTCTTCATACTCCTGGGCAGGTTATACGATACTTAGGAATTCCCACGGGAACGGGCATTAGCGGGAAAATCCTTTTGTATGAAAAATCTAAACCGCTTAAGTTAGACGCTTGAAATTTGGCAAGCAGGTACTTTAGTAAACTTAAAGCTTAGTTATAACAGGATATTGCAAAATTCCTACGGGAACGGGAATTAGCGAGAAAAAACATTTGTATGAAAAAATCTAAGCCACGTAAGATAGACGCTTGAAATTTGGCATGCAGGTACCTTAGTAAATTTAAAGCTTAGTTACAACAGGATATTGCAAAATTCTCACGGGAACGGGAGTTAGCGGGAAATTCCTTTTGTATGACTGACTCACTGACATACCCACGCACAGCCTAAACGGCTAAACGTAGGCACTTGATACCTTAATATATGCAAACATTTTTAATTGCAAGATATAGTCTGATATTTAGTCTAGTTGTATTAATAAAATCAGCTTTAAACTCCGTGATATATTTGAGAAAAAACATAAAACGTCTTAATAAAATTTTTACGAGTCTAGGGTCGACAATTTTGGAAGGAATAATTCATGTCTAAAAAGTTTCAAATCCCGCCTGTTATGTGCATAGTGTTGAAGGTTCTAAAAAGTCACATTCACATTGTTTTTAACCGACTTCAAAAAAAGGAGGAGGTTCTCAAGTCGAGTCTTTTTTCTTTTTTAACACTCTTATATTAACTTAAGTTGTATGTAAGTAACTAACTAAAAAAGTATGTAAACAAATCTAGGAAGTCGAATTTATCCTACCTTTAATAATTTTCTCATCGATTTGAAACCTATAATAAATCGAATGTCAATACAATAATTTGGTACAATCGAGCTGATGATATTTAAACATCCAAAAGAAATATTGCTATTAAAAAGTGATGGGAAATTAACAATTCTATATGGCGCATATTTTCAATTTGATTTTCCTCAAATATATCACGGAATTTAAAGCTGATATTTTTTATACAATTAGATTAAATATCATACTATATCTTGCAATTAAAAATGTTTGCATATATTAAGGTGTAATTGAGAAAAAATATAAAAACAAAAATCACTAAAATAATTTTTCCTAATTAACTGAATGCGTTTACGAAGCACTTAATACGCTTATTACGTGTAGTTTTAAGAGCTCTATGAAGTATTATAACAATTCTGAATTAAATGTTATTAGTTAACGAGTGAGAATATTTTTGCATAATTTTGAAGTAAAAAAATAGGTAACTTTGAATTTTTATACCGCGAAAACTACTTGGAATTTTCAAACGGGAGTTTTACTATCATGTTTGTATAACTGAGCCCTATACGGTTCATCAAATAAATGAGAATGTCCGATTATACAGTCTCATAACATACTGTGCATGGTAAAGAAATTTAGAAAAAAAATCGAAAATCTTTGACTGCATTCAAAGATTTTCGATTTTTTTTTTCGAAAATTTCTTTATATTTTCTTTCTTTTGAAAAATAAAGAAATGTTTTCTTTCACTAAAATGTTCTATCTTCAATATTAAGAGTACTTTCCCTCCAGGTGGCATTACAAATTTCCACCCTGTATAGTATGACTACTACATTCATTTATTTATATTACTTATTAGTGTTTCAGGAGTCTAGTTCTAGTCATTTGAACTTTCTCAATGTGGATTTCAGATTTTTTTTACTTTACGAAGAGAAAGGTATTCCTTTCATTGAATTTACTTTTTTTTTTAAATTACCACTCAAACCACCACGCGCACATGATATTCTTCTTCTTGATTCCATGTCCATAATAAGAACAAAAAACATTATTTTAGCCATCGCGAATTTACGTCCACAATTTTTAGGGCAAGGTAGGCCAAGTAATTAGTGTATTGTACATTACAGATTCATAATTTTGCAATTCATTATTAGTGGTTTTGTGCGCACTGCTGCAGTGCAGAGATAATTTTCACTATATGTCACTGTACATAATTTGAAATAAAAATGGGTTTTAAATGTCATGTAAATCATGTACTTGCAACACGTCTTTGTTACTGTTATTGTAACTTTTTGTCACTGGGTGTCACGAATTATTTGACGCTGTTCTTTACCTTTGTGACCATTTAACCATATTGAACATGGCAATTATTGAAAGTTGAAAATATTAATTAATATATGCGCTTCGTTTGAGATCAAGACGCCTTGTGTAAAGATCGATAGGATTGATTTTTTGTTTCAGTCAATGAGTTTTACTAGCTATCCGTTTAAAAATTTAAAAATATTCTAATATGCATTATTATACTTTTAAGAGCTTTCACATTTGGGCGATTTTAGCAGCGCGACAGACGGTCTATCGATAATTTCATACTAATTGATAGCGGATGCCCGCCTTCACATTATAAAAACGCCGCTGCCGCGCCACTGAAGCCTAATGTGAACGCGATCTTAAACATCACAGCACCACGGGAGGGGCGGGGGCGGGAGCGAGGGAGCGGGAGGGAGGGAGCGCCGACCTCGACCGTAAATGCTTGCGCGTTACATCCCTGACGTTCGCCGCTCCGTGGCGCCCGCGCGAGACAAGCATTTACGGACGAGGACCGAGCGGCACCGAACGTGAACGTCAGGAATATAAAACGCACGGACCGGGTTGTAATCATTTATTATCGTCGCGGGGTCGTCGGTCGGCGTGGGACAGCCACGCGTCCAGCGTGCCGTTGCGCAGCGCGCGCCGCCGCTCGCCGCCCGCCTCGTCCAGCGTCCACAGGTTGATGTGCACGGTGCCGCGCGAGCGCGTGCGCGCGGGCGCCGGCGGGCTGGGCGGCGGGCTGGGCGGCGGCGGCGCGGGCGGGAGCGCGGGCGGCGGCGCGGGCGCGGGCGGCGGCGAGCGCTCGCGCAGCTGCCGGCGCGCCGCCTCCCACTCGCGCAGCTGGCGCTGCATCTCGCCGAGCGCCGCTCGCTCCGCCTCCGTCGCGGCCTCGCTGCTCTCCACCAGTCGCATCGCGTATTTCTCAACCGGCGTGAGCTAAAAATTAAACGAACGTCATAAATATAATGAGCGAACGTTAAAACTCACCGTTCGGGGAAACGTCCGACGTTACCGAAACGTAATATCTCCGAAGCGATGACAGTTTTTGAGTTTGAGATTTAACGCGGACGCTCGCATCACCTGGTTCATGAGCGCGGCGAGCGCGGAGGCGTCGGCGTCGGCGGGCGGCGGCGCGGGCTCGTCGTCGGCGGCCAGCGGCAGCGTCTCGTCGAACTCGGCCAGCTCGCCCTGCGCCTCGGCGCGCGCCGCCGCCGCCGCCGCCGCGTCCGCCTCGTCCTCCGCCGCCGCCAGCGCCGACTCCAGCTCGCCGCCCGCGGGCGCGCCGGGCGCCGCTTCGGGGACGGGCTCGCTCGGGGCGCCGCTCTCGGATTCGCCGCCGAATAGCTCTTTAATGTTGCCCTGGAGACGAAAAATTATAATTATTTATTTATTTATTTATTTTATGGAAAACAAACAGCATATATGCATTATTAATAGATGAGGCGGTTAAGATCAAAAATGCCTTACATAGTTTTCACAAATAGCATATCAAGATACAATCCATAATAATATAATGATAAATCTCTCACACCGACACCATTGATACTCAAGAACTTTCCTGCCCCAGCGGCCATCAGCTCTACGAGCTATGTGCCCCGCCCACTACCACTTGATTTTAGCGATAGACGAGCCGAAAGACGTAGCGTGGGCAGGCCTCCCAGTCCCACTAGGTGGACCGACGATCTGGTGAAGGTCGCGGGAGGCGCAGGACCGGTCTTTGTGAAAATCCTTGGGGGGAGGCCTTTGTCCAGAAATGGACGTCTTTCGGCTGAAACGAACGAACGATTCGTTTTTTTTTAGCATCACGCACGTAGCACATTGAAAGTGCTAATGACTCATGTGAAGTAAAACGCCAAGACAGATCTGACGGTGAAATCTGCAGTCGTTCAGGCCTGTCTACTTCCTATGCTGAGTTACGGCGTAGTACGACTACTCTCACGTCACATACAATAAGAGCGACTTGCTAAAAATTGAACGCCAATATCGATCGGCCCTCAAGACGGCCGAAAAATTCACTTCGTGCACAAGATTTGAACGAGGACATGCTGCGCAGTCTTCGCGAAATGCACATCGAGCTTTCGACGCCTATTTCGTCCCAGTCGCGTTGGTGATATAATCAATGCAAACAGAGACGAGTGTCTCACCCGGAGGTAGGAGGTGGTGAAGTGGCCGCCCTCGATGGCGAGGTGGCCGAGCACGCGCTTCTGGTCGGCCTTGCGCAGGATGTTCTCCTCCACCGTGGCGGCCGTGACGAGGCGGAACACGTGCACGTCGCGCGTCTGGCCGATGCGGTGGCAGCGGTCCTGCGCCTGCGCGTCCATGGTGGGGTTCCAGTCCGAGTCGTAGAACACGACGGAGTCGGCGCCCGTGAGGTTGAGCCCCACGCCGCCCGAGCGCGTGGACAGGATGAAGGCGAACACGCGCGCGTCGGCGTTGAAGCGCTCCACCAGCGGCTGGCGCGCCTCCACGCGCGTGGAGCCGTCCAGGCGCAGGTAGGCGTGCCCGTGCATGCTCAGGAACGCCTCCAGCACGTCCAGCACGCGCGTCATCTGCGTGAAGATCAGCACGCGGTGCCCGCCCGCCTTCAGCTCGCGCAGCAGCCCGGCCAGCGTCTGCAGCTTGCCTGCGGGGGAAGCGCGTCACGCGTTAGGCGGCTGCGGGGCGTGCGCGTGCACGATAGGGAATATGCATCGATTTTAAAAGTTAATCAATTATGTATAAATAAACACTTCAGTTGCAATTTCTGAAAAACTAGTACATATTTAAATCGGAGTGGAAACAAGAGTTACAAGTGTTTTAACTTTAGATCGCGTGTGACGACGACAGTCGAGCGTGACGTCTAATGTCACCCGCCCACAGGGACTCGGGACTCTGCGTGTCGTTCGAACGTGAGATTTCCAACGTCTATATCTCAGGTAATTAAATATAATAAATTTTTAAAGAAAAGCGCCGATCAATTCGACAACGCCGAGGTCACCGAAACGTGAGAAACAAAAAAATGTAGCATATTCCCTATCGACGTTCGATCGTTTCGCGATGACTGACCGCAGTCGTACTGCAGCAGGCGCGGGTGCGGGAAGGCGACGGCGTGGCGCGAGGCGGGCGCGTGCAGCAACGCCAGCAGCGCGCGCGCCGGGCCCGCCAGCCCGGCCGCCACGCGCGCGCTCCGCCGCCACTTGGTGGAATAGACATGTTGACACCACAGTCAATTGACGTACTTTTTAAAACTGTCAAAACGAAACTCTCCCATAGATTTTGTATCGCACTACAAGCAAGTGACGTCACTGTTTTGTCAACCCAATTAAACTACTTTTTTCCATTACATTCGACCAAAAATCGAAATTAACGGGTAATTTAAAATAAATTAGGTTTTTAAGACCAGAATGAAGAGTCTTTTTAAAACAGTTGTGGTTTCGAATTTTTGGAGTATGGTGTCAAACTGTCTAATTGTGTTACATTTCTTTAACTAAAAACCTTCCTCCGATTGACACATGAGTCATAGAAATACTATTTTCGAGTTGATAATCTGGACTTTACGATTACGATGATATACTTAAGTGTACATGTTGTTATGTAACAATGTTGGTAGACCAAATAAATAAATAAATAAATACTTCTTTGACGTATACGGGTAGATTTTTTTCAAGTATGCGTGGGTAGACTTTGCAACTATAAAAATAATTAAAACTGCCAATTCGCTAATTTCAATCGATGCATATCGGCGAAGCGCAGGAGACACTGACTTGTCGATGAGATCGTGCAGCCGCTCGAGCACGTCGTGGATGGAGACGGGCGCCACGGCCGGCGCCGCCACGCCCAGCGCCGCGCGCAGGTCGGCGCCGTACAGCGGCAGGCGCCAGCAGCGCCGCTCGTTGGCCGCCGCCAGCCGCCGCAGGCAGCCGCGCCGCCGCGCCTCCAGCCGCGCCGCGCCGCCCGCGCCCTCCGCCCCGCCCGCCGCGCCCGCCGCCTCCCCGCCCCGCCCCGGGTGCGTGGAGGGTGTTGCCGTCGCTCGCTGCTGATCATACTACCGTTGCACCGATGGGGTTCCACACGCAAAGCTTTACGTAGATTTTATTTACCCAGCATAAAGTTAATGTCCCTTCGGAATAGAGCAACAATCACGAGTTGTCAAACGAAACCGATTTTATTGCACGCTTTGATAGCAACGCTGCCGATGCCAACGATGACGCTCGGATTGGTCGGATCAAGTCCCCTTACCCCTATACCGATAATTATTGGTTTATTATAATCACTAATTGATTATAATTATTCACTGAACCAGTTACCACGTTTCTGAAGCACTATTTCTCATTAAAAATCTACCATTTCACTCACGTAAAGCCTGAAAAAATCTGAACTCATATTTTCAGCGTGCCAATAAGTGCTACAAACTGTCAAGTAGTTGCAAAAAACGGTTCCGTTTAACGTGACGGCGACGGCACCACGCATGTCTTTTTATCAGTGGTGCTGCTAGTGACATCTCGCAACAAATTAAATTATTTTATTGCATGTCATGTCATCGCATCTCGCTTACTCAGTTGTTTGTTGCTCTATTCCGTTAGGTATATTCACTGTTAGCCAGTGCCGAGTAAAATTATAATGAGGATCACTACTGTTGTAAAGCCTTATCCGTGAGCACGTAGAATTTTGTCGTTGGACAAAATACGCAGGGCCGCGTGACGTCACTATATCGGAACCGAGCGCAGCCGGCGTACTATGTTGATGGAATTATTTTTTTTCACTGATTTTGATTGAGATTTAATTTTATTGAAAAGTATCACTTTTAGAGAAAAACTTTGACATTTATTCGTCAAAATAATGTAACCCATCCATCAGTAATTTAAAAAATAGAAATTGTGAAAAATAGAAGTGCCGATTGGCGAAATAATAAAAATGGTGAATAAATTTTGACACACACGTTACGGAATAGATTTCTAACGGAATAGATATAGACTCTTCACATAACATTAAATAATAATTAAATCCTTTAAACAAAACTAGCTTTTATTAAAACGCTTTTTTAACTCTTAAGATGCAAATGATAAGTTCATAATAATACGAAAAACCACGTACCTGGTGTCTGTCGGCGCCGTTGGCGGGCGCGGGCAGCGTGGGCAGCGCGGGCAGCGGCGGCGGCGGCGCGGCGGGCGCGCGGCACGCGCGCGCGCCCGCGCCCGCGCCCACGCACAGCTGCGGGGCGCCCGCGCGCGCGCCGCCGCTGCACACGCTGAACCTGCACAAAACGTAGACGTCAACATTTCACTTGGTGGAATAGACATGTTGACACCACAGTCAATTGACGTACTTTTTAAAACTGTCAAAACGAAACTCTCCCATAGATTTTGTATCGCACTACAAGCAAGTGACGTCACTGTTTTGTCAACCCAATTAAACTACTTTTTTCCATTACATTCGACCAAAAATCGAAATTAACGGGTAATTTAAAATAAATTAGGTTTTTAAGACCAGAATGAAGAGTCTTTTTAAAACAGTTGTGGTTTCGAATTTTTGGAGTATGGTGTCAAACTGTCTAATTGTGTTACATTTCTTTAACTAAAAACCTTCCTCCGATTGACACATGAGTCATAGAAATACTATTTTCGAGTTGATAATCTGGACTTTACGATTACGATGATATACTTAAGTGTACATGTTGTTATGTAACAATGTTGGTAGACCAAATAAATAAATAAATAAATACTTCTTTGACGTATACGGGTAGATTTTTTTCAAGTATGCGTGGGTAGACTTTGCAACTATAAAAATAATTAAAACTGCCAATTCGCTAATTTCAATCGATGCATATCGGCGAAGCGCAGGAGACACTGACTTGTCGATGAGATCGTGCAGCCGCTCGAGCACGTCGTGGATGGAGACGGGCGCCACGGCCGGCGCCGCCACGCCCAGCGCCGCGCGCAGGTCGGCGCCGTACAGCGGCAGGCGCCAGCAGCGCCGCTCGTTGGCCGCCGCCAGCCGCCGCAGGCAGCCGCGCCGCCGCGCCTCCAGCCGCGCCGCGCCGCCCGCGCCCTCCGCCCCGCCCGCCGCGCCCGCCGCCTCCCCGCCCCGCCCCGGGTGCGTGGAGGGTGTTGCCGTCGCTCGCTGCTGATCATACTACCGTTGCACCGATGGGGTTCCACACGCAAAGCTTTACGTAGATTTTATTTACCCAGCATAAAGTTAATGTCCCTTCGGAATAGAGCAACAATCACGAGTTGTCAAACGAAACCGATTTTATTGCACGCTTTGATAGCAACGCTGCCGATGCCAACGATGACGCTCGGATTGGTCGGATCAAGTCCCCTTACCCCTATACCGATAATTATTGGTTTATTATAATCACTAATTGATTATAATTATTCACTGAACCAGTTACCACGTTTCTGAAGCACTATTTCTCATTAAAAATCTACCATTTCACTCACGTAAAGCCTGAAAAAATCTGAACTCATATTTTCAGCGTGCCAATAAGTGCTACAAACTGTCAAGTAGTTGCAAAAAACGGTTCCGTTTAACGTGACGGCGACGGCACCACGCATGTCTTTTTATCAGTGGTGCTGCTAGTGACATCTCGCAACAAATTAAATTATTTTATTGCATGTCATGTCATCGCATCTCGCTTACTCAGTTGTTTGTTGCTCTATTCCGTTAGGTATATTCACTGTTAGCCAGTGCCGAGTAAAATTATAATGAGGATCACTACTGTTGTAAAGCCTTATCCGTGAGCACGTAGAATTTTGTCGTTGGACAAAATACGCAGGGCCGCGTGACGTCACTATATCGGAACCGAGCGCAGCCGGCGTACTATGTTGATGGAATTATTTTTTTTCACTGATTTTGATTGAGATTTAATTTTATTGAAAAGTATCACTTTTAGAGAAAAACTTTGACATTTATTCGTCAAAATAATGTAACCCATCCATCAGTAATTTAAAAAATAGAAATTGTGAAAAATAGAAGTGCCGATTGGCGAAATAATAAAAATGGTGAATAAATTTTGACACACACGTTACGGAATAGATTTCTAACGGAATAGATATAGACTCTTCACATAACATTAAATAATAATTAAATCCTTTCGGCGGGCGGCGGGCGCGGCGCCGGCGCGCGCGAGCCCAGCTCCTCCACCAGGCGGCGCGGCGGCGCCAGGTGCCGCGCGCGGTGCGCCGGGAACGCCATCGTGCCCGCCACCTGCGGCACCGGCGAGCGCGGGGTTAAACTTTTATTTGCATTTGTAGTAAGTAGGTACCTACCTACTTATAAGATAAGTCATGTTTAAATCAAAATTCTACTATTATTGATATGTTTAAATGTTTTTTTGTGTGCATGAAACGGTTCGGAACAAACTGCATTGAATCTATATTGCATGTTGTGTCACTATAATTGTGGTTGCATTGTAACTTTGTTCATAATTGTTATTTTTAACTGTACATGTTGTTATGTAACAATGTTGGTAGACCTAATAAATAAATAAATAAACTCGTGTCGATCGTCGATCACGTCCCGGACGGCTAGGGTGGATGGCCTCACCTCGAGCGAGGCGAGGTCGCCGCCGAGGCGCGCGGCGGCGGCGAGGCGCGCGGCGCAGCCGACGTCGAACACGGCGGCGGGCGCGAGCAGGCGCAGCGCCGCCAGCTGCAGCGGCGACACGACGGGCCGCGCCTCGAACAGGTCGGGGTGGTTGCACACCTTGCGCAGCTGCATCAGCACGTTGATCACGCTCAGCAGGTTGCCGGACGCGAGGCTCTCCTTGGTCCTGGAAGCCGAGCGGGGGACGGAACCGATCAGAGGACGAGGTGAACGATCGCGCGTTTCCATGTCGATTTTGTTATTTATTTTAAGACTAGATAACACCTAACCCTAAAACCTGCATTCCTTGCATATCGGTGTCTTCTCGTTGATTGTCCTAAATAAATAAAAACATTTTCATTCACGACTGACAGGAACCACTGTAATACAAACAAGAAAATCAGCCGGGCTGAGATGCGCGCCATAATTTAGACGAAAAATGTGGCTTCGTCGTACACAATCAATAAAATATCTGAATAAAGTTTATCGTGGCGCGCATCCCAGGCGCAGAGAGCGGGCACGTACTTGGCGCGCGACATGAAGTCGTCGTAGAGGAAGCGCTGGCGCTTGGAGAGGCGGCACATGAGCACGTGCTCGTACTTGCGCGGCATCTGGCGCTCCACGTCCGCCTTCAGCCGCCGCAGCAGGAAGGGCCGCAGCACCTGCGAGGGATACAAGTTATCACTTTGCAAAGGCAACTGACAGACTTCGGATATCGGAGCTGACGCAGAGCTCGAGGCGTACCTCGTGCAGGCGGCGCACGAGCGCCTCGTTGTAGCGGTGCGAGCCCTCGGCGATGCCGGCCACCTCGCTGAACCACTCGCGGAACTCCGAGTGCGACGCGAACACGTCGGGCATGAGGAAGTGCATCAGCGACCACAGCTCCAGCAGGCTGTTCTGCAGCGGCGTGCCCGTCAGCAGCAGCCGCCTGCAACACGACACTCCGTTACTGACCGCCCCGGGCGACTCCGCGAATCACGTTCAGAGAAAAAACACGCACCTCTCGGTCTGGAAGTTGAGCAGCATCTGCCACCTCTGCGATTTAAAGTTTTTGATGTTCTGCGCCTCGTCGAGTATTAAATATTTCCACCTTTTCCTTCTGAAGCTCTGGTGGTCCTGCACCACGAGCTTGTACGACGTGATGCACACGTGAAACGAATTGGCCTTGGTCCACCCGACGCGCTTCAACTTGCGCTCCTTGATCGTGCCGTAGTAGGTGAGGATCTTGAACGCGGGGCACCACTTCTTGAACTCCATCTCCCAGTTGAGCACGACGGAGGTGGGCGCCACCACCAGGTGCGGGCCCCAGTCGCGGCGCTCCAGCGCCAGGTGCGCCAGCAGCGCGATGGTCTGGATGGTCTTGCCCAGCCCCATCTCGTCGGCCAGGATGCCGTTGAGGCCGCGCGCGTGCATGGTGGCCAGCCAGTGCAGCCCCACGTGCTGGTACTCGCGCAGCGCGTGGCGCAGCAGGCGCGGCACCGGCGTGCCCACGGCCGTGGACGACAGCGTCGTGCCCGTGGGCTGCAGCGCGGCCGCCAGCGACGCCGCCGCCTCCACGCGCCGCTCGCCGCCCGCCTCCTCCACCAGCGCCTCCAGCGCCTGGGACGCGGCCGACGCGCCCGACGCGTCCGACGCGCTGGACGCGTCGTCGTCCGAGGGCGCGGAGTCGTCGTCGCTGTCGGTGGGCGTGGCGGAGCGCGGGCCGGCGGGCGCGGCTCCGTAGCGCCGCACGAGCTCGTCCAGCCCGAGCTCGGCCTCGGAGCGCAGCGCCTCGAGCTCGGCGGCGTCGTCCTCGGGGCGCTCGGCGCGCTCCTGCTCGTCGATGGTCTCCTCGTCGTCGGCGGAGTCGTCGTCGTCGGGCCCGTAGTCGGAGGGCGGCGGCGAGTGCGCGGGCAGGTAGCCGGGCGGCAGCAGGTCGCCGAGGTCGAGGCGCGACTCGCGGCGCAGCGCCTCGAGCTCGTCGCGGTGGTCGGCGGCGTCGGCGCCGGCCTCGCGCTCGGCGGCGGCGATGGTCTCCTCGTCGTCGTCGGAGGCGCCGCGCGGCTGGAACTCGTCGTCGGAGGGCGGCGTGTCGGGCTGCGCGGGCGCGAGGTTGGCGGCGAGCTGGCGCGAGTAGCGCTCCGTTCGGTCCACGATGTAGCTCAGCTGTTCGTCGAGAGCCTCTTTGCGGGCGCGCTCCACGCGACGTACGCGTTTCCATTCTACAATCTGTGACAGAAGAGAACAAAATATGATCGAAGAAATATCATCATTTAAATTTTTTAAATTTTCATACAAAATAAATTTTATAACATCCGATTTGTATGAAAATTAAAATAATTAAATTTAAGATATCAATTTTCTGACTTCACTATACCATTTATATGTCCATCCATGTTAACATGGGTTCGTATCGGCTCATATACCCATTTACCAAACACCCTGTATACTTCTACATCCCAACTAATATTATAAATGCGAAAGTAACTCTGTCTGTCTGTCTGTCTGTCTGTCTGTCTGTTAGTCTGTCTGTCTGTCTGTCTGTCTGTTACGCTTTCCCGCTTAAACCTCGCAACCGATTTTGATGAAATTTGGCATAGAGATAGTTTGAGTCCCGGGAAAGAACATAGGATAGTTTTTATCCCGGTTTTTGAAACAGGGACGCGCGCGATAAAGTTTTTCTGTGACAGACAAAATTCCACGCGGGCGAAGCCGCGGGCGGAAAGCTAGTTTATAATAATATTATGTAGATATAATAGTTTGTTTGGTTGAATGCTATAGGAAAAATTATGCAAACAATCTTCATGTGTATGAAAGCAGGCTTGCCTATTAAAACATAATTTATGACCGAGATTGAAACTAGTTTTAAGTGTAATTTTGTAATATGGATGTACCCTTAATTACCTTTTCCACATTTGACCAGAAAGTTCTAATTTCTTTTGCAGCAAAGGCAGCTATTTTCTTCAGTTGTAACTCTTGTGCTTTTTCTGCTTTCTGTGCCGCCAGGGCTTTATCTTGAAAGTATTTTTGTACGGCACGAGCACACTGAAATACAAAATAAATGTCATGTTCGCTCATAGTAAAGTGGATTTAATATAATTCAGAAAGTGTCTGAACATCCCACCTTCTTGGCGGCCTGTTTTTTCCATTTGCGTTCGTGGGCGAAGTCTTGCGCGAGCCAAGCCATCTCCTCGAGCAGATAATCCCAGTGCGTCTTGGCGCGCGGCGGCTCCATGACGCGCGGCAGGCGGCGCTCCGGCCACAGCCCCGCGCGCGACAGCTCCGCCACGCGCGACGCCACGTACGCCTCCTGCTTCGCCTTCTCCACCATCTCGTCGGCCGGCGCGGGCGCGGGCGCGGGCGCGGCCGCCGGCGCCGCCACCGCCACCGTCACCGCAGGGGGTCGCCGCGCCTCGATGAACGCGACCAATGCCGCCGACGGCGGTCTTTTCCGCCACGCAGCATAGTCCATCATGTTGCCCCCCGCCTGCAGGAAGTACAGCTCGGTCAGCTGCTCCGTGAATCTGCAGACGAGACGTGGTATGATTTTCAGATAAACTTTCCTATGGACGTAGTTCATTTCGAATACGTCAGTACCTCGGAAGAGCAGTCGCCCGGCAAACGAAAGGTCGTGGGTTCGATTCCCGCCATAGGCGATTCGATTTTTTTAAGTTGTTTATTTAAAATTTAGTTTGAGCCTAATCGCTCCGAAATGTTGATAACGTCAGTACCTGTCGCGTATGTTCCTCAGCCGCAGTACATCGGCCTCGAGGATGCGGCGGCGCAGCGCGGACGCGTCGTCGGCGGCGAGCTTGGGGCGCTTGCGGGGCGGCTCCTCGGCGGCGCCGTTGAGCGCCGCCGCCGCCGCCGCGCCCCCGCCGCCTCCACCCCCTCCCGCCGGGACGCTCGTGCGTTCCACACCCTACAAGCATGTGTAATTTATGTGCATTTATTATAAACATTGTTTTATCCGACAAATAAAATACTAATATTAAGCCTAGGTGCAGACCACCAATTTTTAGTCGAGACTGCAGAATGGCATCCTAAGAACCATTTCAAATGCACCATGGTTCATTACCAACACAGAAATCCATGAAGCTCTGAGCATGAGAACTGTTAGGGAGGAGCTAAAGCTAACAGGGAAAAAATATAAAATGTGACTGGAAAATTGCCCAAATCAGTTGGCTACCACGTTGGCAACCATCAACCATCAGCTACACTAAACGACTGAAGCACCACGATATACTCAGTGACAGATAATGAATTAGGAGTGTCCTGCTGGGGAGCTCCTTGAACATGTTAAACTTGCATGGAACAAATCTGCTTATAGTTTGGGACTGATTGCATATGAGCAGATAAGTGCAAAAAAATGAATAAAGGATATTGATTTATAGGCCAGTAGAATTAAACACAAAAATAAATTAAATCAGAAATAATTTCTATAAAAGATTTTATTGCTTTAATGGCTTCATTGGTTGCCAATAAAGACTCTCCTAGGTTTTCGACTTCGACGGAGTTAAAAATCACTGATTTAAATCAATATCCGAAAATGGAATTAATGAAATGCTGGCTGGGTGTGCATAATAATCAACTTTAATGTTCGAAAACGATTTTAATATTAGGTGTTCATGTTCAAGTATGAAATTGCCGTTTTGTATGGAAAAAAAAAAAACATTTTATAAAAAAAAAAAATAGCGAAAAAACTGATTAAAATGGACACCTCATAGGATGAGCTATTTTTGACAAATAGTTTTTTTTTTGTTTCAGTAATCATAACCTACATACATAATTTACTTATTATGGCGGTGTTCCCTGCACTATACTTCAATTCTACTTGAATAAAAATGTTTTCCGCAAGAAAAACTAAGGCAATTTTTAAAAAGACCTGCCCCCGTAGACAAAACGCACTTTTTGATCGAATCGAAAATCGAATCTGTCAAAACTCCATACAAAAAAGGGGCCTTTCGACCACTTTTCGACTGGTTTGCGATTATAATTTGCACTTTGTCTAGACCCACTGATTTTTGACATCAACAATGTAAGTAAAATTCACATCACCAATGGCGGGATAACTGGAAGAGTTAATTAGATTTTTTTATGTTATTAAGAGTGAAGATCTCATTCAGAGTTATGGGTTATTATTAACACCATCTATGGGAATTGGTACAAAATCCCAATGACACTCGGCAAATGTTCTAACAGAATAAGCTACATTCAAAATGTCTTTACTAGGTACATACTGTACATAGAAATAAATAAAAAAATACCTAAAAAAGGCAATGTTTTATACCTACAACTAGTAAAGGTACAATTCCAAGACGGGCCGCAGACCGCAAAACTATAAATTGAATCTATAAATACTCTCTCGACGCGTGCCGTGCTGCAGATTTCATAGTTTTGCAGTTTGCGGTCTGTGGCCTGTCTTGGAATTAATTGTACGTTAAAATTAAATACTTGTACCTAATATTTTTGTGTCACTTCTCACAAAATTATGTGAAACAGTGCCATGCCTTTTAGCACATTTTTTTTACAGAAAACAATACTTTTTAAGTCTCATCTATGACTTATGACTTTAAATTTAAGTGTTAATGTAATATTATTGCATTATGAACATAAAGATTATCTGATGGAATCACACTTCACACTAATATTTAAAAAAGGCGAAAGTTTGTGAGTGTGTATGTTTATTACTTCTTCACGTCTAAACGACTGGAGCGATTTTAATAAAATTTGGTATGGAGTTAGCTGACACCTTAGATTAACACAATGCTACGTTTTACCGCGGGGTACAGATATTAAGCAATAATACCTATGTAGCCATGCCTATGTAGTAAAATCACCGGTGTCAAAGGCGGGCATTATGAATACAAACCATGAGTTGTAAGGCAGGATCGAATTTGTGGGGCGAGCCAAAATCATCGCAACCGCTCATATTGTGACATTGCGAGTAAGAACACTGAACTTTTGTCTTTAATACGAAAATACCATGCACTTTTATTCACCACTATCACTTGACTGTTTTTATTATTACTGTTTTATCACAATCACTTTTACAAAGAACGGATTACCACATAATGATAGGATTAATTGCGTAAACTGTTAGAATAAGTTAACCGCAATACGTTAGATTTCTCCAAATTAATACTATGGAAATTCCCATCGTTAACATTCCAGCAATAAACACTGAAATGTTCAGCGGCCATATTGAAGAACCGATTTGTTTGGACAACGCGCAGTCTTCACGGTAATAATCCTATTTTATTTCGGCGCAAGCAGGGCATCACAGCACAAAAACAAATTTTATTGAAAATATTTAACGAATTAGTTACGATTTCGGGTATATTTTTCACGAAAACTAGATGCTGTTTTTACTAGCTCTCGTTTTAATCGTTTAATCGATTACTTCATGCAATCGAATTAGGTTTTAAGTTTAATCGATTCAATGAAAGGCAAAAAATAAATTATCGCTGAAACCTTTTGAAAAAAATACCAACATTTATAAAAACACGTAACAAGTAAAATAGCAAATAAATTAAAAATATTATTGTAGGTATAAATTCCTTCAATAAATAAATTGCAAATTAATCGATTCTTGTAACCATCGATTCTAAATAGTTCTTCTTCTTTCTTGATGTTGGCAGTACACGGCGAGGCCTCAGCATGAAGCTAAAGATAAAAATGGAGGGCAGAGTTGGAACAAAAACTTGAGTCAAATACCTACTTATATCTATCTCGCTCTCTGCGGCCCTACCTCTCTTTTTAGTATTGCTATCTTCTGATTTAAATCTCCTTGTAAATTCTTCGAAATAGCCAATTCACTGACCAAATCAGAAGTTAAACAAATAAATAATTAATATTTGAAACTAAGATTACCTAGTTAAATAAAAAATCACAAAATTGTCGGCCATTTAGGCTTAATGTGTTGGCGAATCAGAGAATTACAATCCCAATTCCTGGGTAATCAGTACCATGTGGCAACTGGCAACATCGGCCCAATCCGGCCCATCATGGCGGTTGTTTACTATTTTGTTTATTAAGCAGTTAATTTCGTTTGAGATTGTTTACAGGAAATAATCATTGTTTTATCACAAGAATTGGTGCAAAATTTTGTAGTGCGTGGTTGCGGTAGTACGTGGTGTCCTGGAAGTGACATAAGATTCCACGCGTAAGTGTTTATTTCGTGATTTCCGACATTGGATCATTGTAAACATTTTTCACATTTTTTACGGTAATTTCTTCCTAAAACGTTTTACCAGTAATAGCTTCATGGCCTCGACCTGAGGCCCATGAAGCTACAGATAAAAATGGAGGCCACACTCCGAATACCTACTTGAAGCACAACCTATGTATCACTATCTCGCTTTCTGGTGGCAGACTCTCTCTTTCTAAATAAACAAAAAATAATATAAATTTGCTCAAAGTCAATGAAACTCAATGTAAAATCTTTATTTCTTGACATTAGGTATCATTAAATGTTAAGTGTATGGTAAAACGTTTTAGGAAGAAATTACTGTGAAAAATGTTTACAATGATTCAATGTCGGAAATCACGAAATAAACACTTACGCGTGGAATCTTAAGTCACTTCCAGGACACCACGTACTACCGCAACCACGCACTACAAAATTTTGCACCAATTCTTGTGATAAAACAATGATTATTTCCTGTAAACAATCTCAAACGAAATTAACTGCTTAATAAACAAAATAGTAAACAACCGCCATGATGGGCCGGATTGGGCCGATGTTGCCACAAAATTTGGGTACATCTTCTCAAAAACAAAAGAACTGGTGCTAAAAGGGTTAAGTGACGTTTTGACATTTGTAGAGGGCCTTGTAGAAGGGGAGGCTATGGTGCTGAATGTGGATTAACTCGAGTGTCATAGTAACTTAATAGACTGCTAAGCTTGATGATAAAAAGAAAAATATTTTATTCAATGTACATAGTCTGGTCATAAGTTCTGTCATATGATAATAACTTTTGAATTTTGAATGAAGGTCTCAAAAACATTTTTTACTGAATTAGAATTAGAAAGAAAAAATGTGCGATAGTTCGAATTTTATTGTATGTGTAGTGGACACATAATGAAGTCCGAACTGCAGTTGTTTGTCACGCTGCATTGGTGCGGCTACGCGCCAAAGCATATTTTAGTCGCGCTGAAAAACTGTCTATGACAGACAGCTACCATGACTATCGGTCGATCTCAATCGGTCCGCGCGCGCGTTCACTCTTCCATTTACTGTATCCCCCTCTCGCCTATCAGCCACCGAACCGACTTGACGTGCCGGCCGGCACGTTAACTCCAATTTCAATGTAATATTATTGTCTAAAGTACAATAAATTCTCGAAACTAAATAATGTATTTCTTTAATTAATTGAATGATCAAACGAACTTACCAAGTGAAGTTCGATCTAAATTATCCTGTTTTCGCCGAAGAGATTTAAGGTCCCTCCCAACCCGAAGATTTCTATATCTTCTTCCCTGGAGGTAAACGTCAATGTCATCTCTTCTCTAAATATAATGAGACCGCTCGGACACCGAGCCCACAGCGTGGTAGGGGTGGGGTTGCCCGCTCTTTTGTTTTTTACTACTACTACGCTGAATATTGTGTGCGGATTGGGTTGTCGTACAGGGGTACTACATGGTAAAATAAATCTCTTCGGCGAAAACAGGATAATTTAGATCGAACTTCACTTGGTAAGTTCGTTTGATCATTCAATTATTTATTTGTTTAACTTCTCATTTGGTTAGTGAATTGGCTATTTCGAAGAATTTACTAGGAGATTTAAATAAGGAGATAGCAATACTACAGTCCACACTAAAAAGAGAGGTCGGCCCACAGAGAGCGAGATAGAGATAAGTAGGTATTTGACTCAAGTTTTTGTTCCAAGTGTGGCCTCCATTTTTATGTTTAGCTTCATGGTCGAGGCCGACTTTGTTTGTGCCATTTTCATAGCGCTGTACTACATATAGGGCTGTACTATGTCTGATACAAAATGCACTTTTTGATCGAATCGAAAATCGAATCCGTCAAAACTCCATACAAATAACCCTCCTTCTGGCGCAGTCGGGTAAAAAGGTGTAAGACCACAGATATGGATGTAATGCTGCTTTTACACTGCGCGGAATCATTCATTTTTCACCCCACTGTTCGGTGTGTGTTCACTGGTGTTCACATTGGCTTGGCTAATTACCGGCAGTGTAATAAAAGTAGCATAAGACCCTATTGTGTGATCGGTCAGCCTGCCACTCGCAACGTCGCGTCGCGTCGCCGCGTCGCAACGAATCCCTCTGCTTTTACACTGCGCGGGAAATAGTCACACTACTGCAATGTGAACACAAACTGAGATAGTGGGGTGGGTGGGGATGAATTTCAATGAATTTTCATCCCATTTCATTTATTCGCGCGCTGTTCACAAAAATGTCCGTTCATCTGTGCCGCTCACCATAGATAGTCACCAACACAGATATGAATAGATGCAGCATGTGTCAAAAATTGTATGAAGCCGAGCGTGCCACTTTTTAAACGTCATTAGTGTCATTTTAGCGAATTTTAGTGATTGCCGCAACGTAAAAGTAATCGTATCATCGTACTGCATTCGCAAAGTCATCGAAATATATCGTGTGACTCGATTCGAAAATTAATTAATTCCGATAAAACTGATAATTTGTTAAATACAAAACCAAAAAAATCTTTATTTACCTTTTTAAAATAAAGTAATTCTTACAAATTGTCAAATCTCGTTATTTTTTTTACCCTACCAGCGTTTCAAGACATAAATTTGTCAAGTGCATGAATACATGGATCAGTGTGTGTCTTATTGTTATGAGTAAGTACGGTTCCTTGGGATCGTCGGTATGAGTGCACCACATACAGGGACCATGGTTTTAACTCTTAAGAGTACATCGCAGGATATGTGTTAAAAACAATGCTACTTTATACTTCTTCTACTGCTACTGTATTCAAATTAATTATTTGCTACTTGTGCTGTTAATTACAATTCTCAATCCGTAAATAATATCTTCTTTCTACCGTGTTCGTACTACTGTTCTCGTAAAATCATCGTAACCGATTGTTGAAATCGGATTACATGAACATCACTCGACCATGTATGTCCATTTGGACATATCGAAATGGCACGCTTTGACGATCAACTTGCTGTATCTACTCCACAGATAAAGATAGATGCAGCATGTGTCAAAATTTGTATGAAGCCGAGCGTGCCACTTTTTAAACGTCATTAGTGTCATTTTAGCGAATTTTAGTGATTGCCGCAACGTAAAAGTAATCGTATCATCGTACTGCATTCGCAAAGTCATCGAATGATATCGTGTGACTCGATTCAAAAATTAATTAATTCCGATAAAACTGATATTTTGTTAAATTTATAGCTAGTCTGACTGTGGATTAAAATAATTATGTAGCGGTAGACGTTATTCTACAATTCTACATTATTAATTTGCAAATAATATTTTTGTTGTGCCTAATGTTTATGAAAGTAATGATCGTTATTCCATTATGTTAAATAGTACTACTAGTAATTCATACTTAATTCCATACTTTTAAATATCCTAGTAAGTAAATGACCTACTTTCATAAAATAAAGACTATTTTACTCAAGCTTTTTATTTTTAATAAATGTAAAAATGCGTAGTTTTGCCAATACGTTTTTTTTCATAAAGCTAAGTCAGGTACCTAGTTTTGAAGATATTTCTAAACGACAAAATCTCGGGCGTCGTATACATAGTAGTAATAGTGTATACTGCGATCACTGACCTAACTTCTTGATTTGTATATTTCGACGTTATACAGTGCACTCTGTCTTCCACGATCACTGATCTAACTTGTTTTATAATTCTTCTTCTGCTACTTTATTCTAATTAATTACATATTTGTTACTCGTTGCTGTTAATTACAATTCTCAATCCGTAAATAATTTCTTCTCTCTACCGTGTTCGTACTACTGTCCTCGTAAAATCATCGTATCCGATTGTTGTAATCGGATTACATGAACATCACTCGACCATGTATGTCCATTTGGACATATCGGAATGGCACGCTTTGACTAGCAACTTGCTGTATCTACTCTAATCCATATCTGTGATCTACTCTAATCCATATCTGTGGTCACCAATCACCATTCACCTCACGCACTCGCGCGATTGTCTAAACGCGGCATCACGACACCGCGCGCGACACGACATAGGCTCTCTTATAAGATGACCCACGCTGAACTGTCCCACCAAACTCAATGACAGGGGGGCGCTACCATCGTTCAACTATTATGGTTTCCAACATGGCAAAAATCTGAACCAGCGATCCGGTATTGACGGTGGCGCCCCACTGTCAATGTCATCGACAGGACAGTCCAGTATTTTGGAACTATATCTGTGCATCATAATGCCGATGTGTCAAAAGAAGGCTATCCTGTCTGTCAGTCAAGTGTCATTTCAGGTTCGCTCGAGTGTCAGATTAGTTATTTTTATTATAGGAAATTGAGGAAAATTCACCTGAAATTAATGAAACTGTGTTTTCAGTTAAAACTAGGGATTTGTTAAGCTAGTTATTGTTATAATTTCATGTACTGATTAAGAATACCTCGTGTACTTTTTTATCTGGTCAATAAAATTTAAGAATCTTGTTTGAGAAAATTCAATTCAAAAAACAATAAAAGCCTCACCAAGGAGATGTGTTGGCAAGAATCTAAAAACTTTTATTAAGGTTTTTTTCATGTAGGTAAGTGACTAATAGTTATTTTTTATTTTTACAACGTTATACATATTTTACTAAGGTATGAGGTAGGTACATAAGTGTTAATAGAAGAAGGTGATAATTTAAAGTTGTGTGATAAATAGGAACCTAATTCATTTATGGACGAAGTTTAATCTAAAGGACTTCTAAAGAAAAATAGTCAATTACTTAGGAACTTGTAACATTTTCACAATTACACATTTTCTTAACAAGAAGCTTGTTTCAGCTAAGTATAGCTGATATAAAAGCATAACCCATAATACGCTTGTATTGTAGTCGCCAGAATACAGACCTTGATTATGACCTCACATTACTGTTTGAACAGGTGGCCAAGTTAATAATTGGATCTGAAGTCTTATAATTAGGTATGAGTTCAACATCTAAGTACATATTTCATTTTATAGATAATTTATTTATTAATAATTGTAAAATAACCTGTTTTTTAATTTCTTTTGAGTATGTGTGTCTTATATCGACGGTGAAGTGTCAATAAATAATAAGAAGAAAAAAAATTGTATGTTGCCAAAATACATAAACGCTAAATTAAATAACAAAAAATCAATCGTGAATAAATTGTTCCAGGATCAGATTTTATCATAACAGGAACTACTTGAACTATTGTAAGTCAACATTGCCATTCACATCTATACTAATATTATAAAGATATGATTGTTTTGTTTGTTTGTATTGAATAGGCTTGGAAAATTTGGAATGTATTAGAAAATTTTATTTTATTTTATTTTATTTTTCTTTATTCAGAAAACCACAGCTCTTTATAATAATAATACAAACAGGTAATAATAATAATAATAAAAATTTATTCAGAAAGCATTGAAAATTTACTATTGCAAGCTATTGTAAAATATTGAGATTTTATAAATAAGTTAAGACAACTTTATATTGGTGGTATGAAGTTCGCCAGCTTATTATGTGAATAGTTACACATTGATTGTGATCGATAACTAGTTCAATGAATTAAATTAGAAACTATCGATAGATACTATTTTTCTCATATTATTGTAAAGTTCCTTCCAGTGTACAAAGACTTAAATAAATACCTCGTATACATAATACCCTTTCCAAACTAGCTCGTTGTCTAGCGATCGATCGGTCAATCAGTGAGGCTACCGTGTTGGGTCAGCAGCGTCGTCGCGGGCCGGGATGTGGCGCGGCGCGCGCTGGCGGCTGGGCGCGGCGCTGGCGCTGGGCGCGCTGCTGCTGTGGGCGTGGCGCGGCGGGCCGGGCGGGCCGGGCGCGGCGGTGTACGGGCGCGCGGGCGGCGCGGCGCCGGTGGCGGGCCGCGAGCTGCCGCTCATCTTCATCGGCGGCGTGCCGCGCTCGGGCACCACGCTGATGCGCGCCATGCTGGACGCGCACCCCGACGTGCGCTGCGGCCAGGAGACGCGCGTGGTGCCGCGCATCCTGCAGATGCGCCAGCACTGGGCGCGCTCGCAGAAGGAGAGCGTGCGCCTGGAGCAGGCGGGCGTGTCCAAGGCCGTGCTGGACAACGCCATCGCCGCCTTCTGCCTGGAGGTGATCGTGCGCCACGGCGACCCGGCGCCGCGCCTGTGCAACAAGGACCCGCTGGTGCTCAAGATGGGCACGTACGTGCTGGAGCTGTTCCCGAACGCCAAGTTCCTGTTCATGGTGCGGGACGGCCGCGCGACCGTCCACTCCATCATCACGCGTAAGGTGAGTCGCCTCCGAGAGTGCCGTCCCGCTCAATGCGAGTGTGACTGAATCATAAAAAGGACATTTTATAATTTCAGGTGACGATAACCGGGTTCGATCTTTCGTCGTACCGTCAGTGCCTGACGAAGTGGAACCACGCCGTGGAACTGATGTACCAGCAGTGTAAAGCTCTCGGCTCGGACAAGTGTCTGCTGGTTCGCTACGAGGTAACGAACAGTACGATTACGGTTTGATCGATCAAGGGTGATAAAATAAATTGTAATCGGAATGAAACGTGCGCGCAGGCACTGGTGCTGCGGCCCGAGGAGACGCTGCGGCGCGTGCTGGGCTTCCTGGGGCTGCCGTGGGACGAGGCCGTGCTGCACCACGAGCGCTACATCAACCAGCCCGGCGGCGTCGCGCTCTCCAAGTAAGCGCGCGGGACCGACGAGCTTCCTTCGCTCGCTCGCTCAGCTCTGACAATGAGATGTAGCGTTCAGATATTTGCTTTTAGCGTTCTTTCGACATGAAGTCAACTTGAGTGGGAATAGGAAGCGAATAGCGAATCGCTTCGGTTGGGTTGGGTGTAGAATGAAGACGCCCGACACATTTAAATGAATAATAATTGCTGCGTCTGGCCATGAATCGAACGTGTGAGTCGAACTCTTTTGTTTTCGTAGAACACAACTAATTAGTATACCTGTTGCGTTTTAAAAGCATTTTATTTCTTATAATAATTTGTGTCCTTGCAACGAGAGCAGATGCTTTTTCAAAACTCATGTAGCCCGTTTCCGTTTATATAGAGGACAGATCATCAACTATATCACATGTCCCGCTACTAACAGTTATCGCTTCAATGCAACATGACATAAGTGAAATAAGTGAATGCTTATTCAAACATCAAATATGTTTGTTCGACATACCGAATGTTTATGAAGTGCCATAACTTTACCATTCCTTTAAATATAATTTGTTGTATTTCATATTAAATGTAAGATTACCGACTTCTCGGCGACGAATTTATTTTACTTATAATATTAATTTATAAGTCTGAAGAGTTTGTTTGTTTGACACGCTAATCTCAGAAACTACTGGTACGATTTGAAAAAATATTTTTGTGTTGGATAGCCCATACGACTTCAACTTTATAATAATAGCAATGAAGTATAGACTAGTGTACCTACAATCTACATAGGTGTACTGACCATGTATCTCATAAAAAGACGACGAAGAACAGCGGGGTCAACGCCCACCGCCTCTTGTGGGCCGAAGTAATTAACGAACGGGTGTGACGTTCCCACAGCGTGGAGCGGTCGTCGGACCAGGTGGTGCGGCCGGTGAACCGCGACGCGCTGGACAAGTGGGTGGGCCAGCTGCCGGCCGACGTGCGCGCCGACATGGCCGAGCTGGCGCCCATGCTGTCGGTGCTGGGCTACGACCCCTGGGCCAACCCGCCGCGCTACGACGCGCTGCCCGCGCACCGCCGCGCGCCCGCGCCCGCCTCGCCGCCGCCGCCGCCGCCGCCCTAGTCCGCCAATACACGCCTGCAGCCGCCGCCCGCCTTTCATTTCACCCCCCTCGTTCCGGCAGGACTCGCGGCCCGCCAGGCGACGGCGCCGGAACGTTTCGCGGCCCGCGAGGCCCGAGACCGACTCCGACCTGAATAACTTGTAACGTAGTCGGCCACCCACCACTCGATACTAATAGAATCTCATAATGATCGCACGAAACTGTACTGTTTTTTGTAACCTTGCATTTAACAGTTTTGACGCATTTACCGCTGTGAATGCATTGACCGATAAAGTTTGAAGAGTGTACTTAAATATTGACGCATGTATAAATCTCTTGTGCCAAGGCAGATTACTATTTTTAAATGAACGCTTCTAAAATTCAGACAAATTTCGATTAAAGTGTGCGCAAAGCAATGGTCCTGACGACAGATTGTCGCGAAGTTGTTTCGCTGATTCGTTTCGGTACGTAAATGAATAATTGTTTTGAATCCGGCCGAGGCTAGAAACAATAAACACTCGTTATCGTAAAATTTGCAGTTCTACCGGTTAACGGATAGTTGTTATTAAATTTTAAAAATACATACTATTATTGTAGATAGCCAANGGTGTTAATCGAACTAGATCCAAAGTTTCAACCTTTTTTGTGTGCATAATGGCTGGAAATAACCCTTTTAGTCCTGAACTGCTTGTCTAAAGTCTAATATCCGAGGGTCCCAACCTTGAAGGTCGGGATATGGGTCCCAGGGAATTAGGATAAGCGGGTCAACTGATCATAACAAGGAAAAAAGGATTAGTCTGAAGTTACGGAGCACGCGACAGACGTGACTGTCCCCCTTACTAATAAAAAGTTACACAGTTGTTGATCACTGTTTTAAAATGACATTTCCATACTAAACGTCACTTTAAAACACTGTTCAACGAGCGTGCAAGTTTTATTAGTAAGGGGGTGTATATCTTTTATTTCAATGATTTATTCGTTCTTCGTTTGGTTTTTTTTATCTATACGCCCTTAAGTTCAATGGTGTGGGTTTACTTCCGTTAGGTCGTCCACATTCTGTTGATAATATCGTTCATTAAAACATTTCCATTTGTTATTATATTTTTCAAACGCTTTTGTTATTTTTATTCCCTTTAAAGACATTTGCTCTTTGACCTGTGACCTTTCGCAGCGGCCCTAACAGTGGCTCTCAAAGATTTTATAAAAATATCAATGAAACAAACGATCAATGTAGAGACAGCAAATTTATAGTTCGTTACACCCAAAAAAGTAGCCAATAAGTTCGCAACACGTCTTTGTTACAATTTGAATAAGGTTGTTTTAACAACTTTAAAAAAAATGCAAAAGTTTCATGTAAAAAATAAGGAAAATCTTGGCTTGTTCATCACTCCACTACTATAAAATGTTCTCAAAACCAGTCCCAGTATAATTGGGACGAAAAGTATGAATTAGATTATCAAAGCTCGTCAACATCGTAGAATGTGATCCGAGGGACGCGGGTTCGATCCCCGCCGCCGCTCGACTATTGTGGTAATAAATACCACTTGTAACATAAGCTTATTTTTTACTCGTAGCTTACTACGAGGGAATATCGGGATTTTTAGTAATTTGTATTTACAAATTGTGAGGTCGAAAAGTTACCTACCTTTTGGGAACCACTGCTTTTTAGTGCGTTGACCGAAAAACAATATTATCATATTTCTTTTGCATGTCACCCGCATTATAATAAGGCATTCGCAACCTGACTCCGGCTTTGTAGAAATTGCTATGACAGTTACAAACGATCGCATTAATCCAACTGTTTTCGATGGTTGTTTTGTGTGGAAAATTTGAAGAAAACTCTATTTTCAACCGACTTCAAAAAAGGAGGAGGTTCTCAATTCGACCCGTATGTTTGTTTTTTTTTTCTATGTTTGTTACGCGATAACTCCGCCANGGCGGGCCGGGCGCGGCGGTGTACGGGCGCGCGGGCGGCGCGGCGCCGGTGGCGGGCCGCGAGCTGCCGCTCATCTTCATCGGCGGCGTGCCGCGCTCGGGCACCACGCTGATGCGCGCCATGCTGGACGCGCACCCCGACGTGCGCTGCGGCCAGGAGACGCGCGTGGTGCCGCGCATCCTGCAGATGCGCCAGCACTGGGCGCGCTCGCAGAAGGAGAGCGTGCGCCTGGAGCAGGCGGGCGTGTCCAAGGCCGTGCTGGACAACGCCATCGCCGCCTTCTGCCTGGAGGTGATCGTGCGCCACGGCGACCCGGCGCCGCGCCTGTGCAACAAGGACCCGCTGGTGCTCAAGATGGGCACGTACGTGCTGGAGCTGTTCCCGAACGCCAAGTTCCTGTTCATGGTGCGGGACGGCCGCGCGACCGTCCACTCCATCATCACGCGTAAGGTGAGTCGCCTCCGAGAGTGCCGTCCCGCTCAATGCGAGTGTGACTGAATCATAAAAAGGACATTTTATAATTTCAGGTGACGATAACCGGGTTCGATCTTTCGTCGTACCGTCAGTGCCTGACGAAGTGGAACCACGCCGTGGAACTGATGTACCAGCAGTGTAAAGCTCTCGGCTCGGACAAGTGTCTGCTGGTTCGCTACGAGGTAACGAACAGTACGATTACGGTTTGATCGATCAAGGGTGATAAAATAAATTGTAATCGGAATGAAACGTGCGCGCAGGCACTGGTGCTGCGGCCCGAGGAGACGCTGCGGCGCGTGCTGGGCTTCCTGGGGCTGCCGTGGGACGAGGCCGTGCTGCACCACGAGCGCTACATCAACCAGCCCGGCGGCGTCGCGCTCTCCAAGTAAGCGCGCGGGACCGACGAGCTTCCTTCGCTCGCTCGCTCAGCTCTGACAATGAGATGTAGCGTTCAGATATTTGCTTTTAGCGTTCTTTCGACATGAAGTCAACTTGAGTGGGAATAGGAAGCGAATAGCGAATCGCTTCGGTTGGGTTGGGTGTAGAATGAAGACGCCCGACACATTTAAATGAATAATAATTGCTGCGTCTGGCCATGAATCGAACGTGTGAGTCGAACTCTTTTGTTTTCGTAGAACACAACTAATTAGTATACCTGTTGCGTTTTAAAAGCATTTTATTTCTTATAATAATTTGTGTCCTTGCAACGAGAGCAGATGCTTTTTCAAAACTCATGTAGCCCGTTTCCGTTTATATAGAGGACAGATCATCAACTATATCACATGTCCCGCTACTAACAGTTATCGCTTCAATGCAACATGACATAAGTGAAATAAGTGAATGCTTATTCAAACATCAAATATGTTTGTTCGACATACCGAATGTTTATGAAGTGCCATAACTTTACCATTCCTTTAAATATAATTTGTTGTATTTCATATTAAATGTAAGATTACCGACTTCTCGGCGACGAATTTATTTTACTTATAATATTAATTTATAAGTCTGAAGAGTTTGTTTGTTTGACACGCTAATCTCAGAAACTACTGGTACGATTTGAAAAAATATTTTTGTGTTGGATAGCCCATACGACTTCAACTTTATAATAATAGCAATGAAGTATAGACTAGTGTACCTACAATCTACATAGGTGTACTGACCATGTATCTCATAAAAAGACGACGAAGAACAGCGGGGTCAACGCCCACCGCCTCTTGTGGGCCGAAGTAATTAACGAACGGGTGTGACGTTCCCACAGCGTGGAGCGGTCGTCGGACCAGGTGGTGCGGCCGGTGAACCGCGACGCGCTGGACAAGTGGGTGGGCCAGCTGCCGGCCGACGTGCGCGCCGACATGGCCGAGCTGGCGCCCATGCTGTCGGTGCTGGGCTACGACCCCTGGGCCAACCCGCCGCGCTACGACGCGCTGCCCGCGCACCGCCGCGCGCCCGCGCCCGCCTCGCCGCCGCCGCCGCCGCCGCCCTAGTCCGCCAATACACGCCTGCAGCCGCCGCCCGCCTTTCATTTCACCCCCCTCGTTCCGGCAGGACTCGCGGCCCGCCAGGCGACGGCGCCGGAACGTTTCGCGGCCCGCGAGGCCCGAGACCGACTCCGACCTGAATAACTTGTAACGTAGTCGGCCACCCACCACTCGATACTAATAGAATCTCATAATGATCGCACGAAACTGTACTGTTTTTTGTAACCTTGCATTTAACAGTTTTGACGCATTTACCGCTGTGAATGCATTGACCGATAAAGTTTGAAGAGTGTACTTAAATATTGACGCATGTATAAATCTCTTGTGCCAAGGCAGATTACTATTTTTAAATGAACGCTTCTAAAATTCAGACAAATTTCGATTAAAGTGTGCGCAAAGCAATGGTCCTGACGACAGATTGTCGCGAAGTTGTTTCGCTGATTCGTTTCGGTACGTAAATGAATAATTGTTTTGAATCCGGCCGAGGCTAGAAACAATAAACACTCGTTATCGTAAAATTTGCAGTTCTACCGGTTAACGGATAGTTGTTATTAAATTTTAAAAATACATACTATTATTGTAGATAGCCAAATGTACATACATTTATTTACTTTATTTAATTTAATGATAACGATTGTGCAATGTAACATTATGAAATGTAAATAAAATTTTAAATATTTGACATTTATTTGATTTTTATTTAATAATAATTTCCATTATGTCGGATCTTCCAAAGGAAGTAGGTGTTCACAATTCACATAGACATAATATCTACTGACTCCGGATAACTGCATGCGTTTTCTAAGCTAAAAAAATAAGCCAATGTCTCTAAGCAGTGCCCTCTATTGTTAGCTTTTCATATTACCAACAACTGGTTTGTAAGGACGACGTAGAAACAACATGGTTATTTTGCTTGATGAGAACAACAGCAACCGTTTTAACCAAATTTAACTAGATGGCGCTATAAGTCTTGGAAACTTATTAAAGATAAGACTTATTAAAGAGATGTCGACAAATATCACGTATTTTTTTCCACAACAAACAGAGTAAGTAAATCCTCCGTCTGCATTTGTGAACACAGGCCCAGTTTTTAGATCCGCAGTTTGCTACCAATGCTTAAATATTAACAAAATGTAAACTAATAGTTAAAAATTGTACTAAAAGTAAAAAAACTGGGCCTGAATTGTTTTGTTTTATTTTTTTTACGCAGGTCGGGTTTTTTTTTATAAAATCTGATATTTTGGAAGCATGGATTATTATTTTGGAAAATCTTACGTGAGGACTGGCAAAATCTCATTAAATCTCACCAAGGGGGGCGGGGGGTTAAAAAATTGCCAAATTGTCTCACGTAATTAATGGACGCCCCCCTATAAAACACAACAATTTACATTACTCAATTCAATTTAGATTGTTGTATAGTCTTAGATAATAAAAAAATATAATGGTTAACTACTTATAACTATACTAACTTTATGTCACTTATTTGGTGTACCTACCTAGTACCATCTAGTACCTACCTAATAAGTAAATAGATAAAAAAACTTTTTTAAAAACAAGCTATATTCTGAAATGCAGTTGTACCAGTTTTTTTTTATTATAATTTTATTTTACACTTTTTAGTTGTATCTCAATCTGGGCCCTGGTCATCAATTTTTTACATCAATTAGCACCAAAGTGCTCGGGAAGACGAATCCAACGAACCCAAACTCGATAAGTTTCCGCCGTTTCGTTTAGGAGTTCTTATGGACACCTCCCGAATCCATCATCAGGACCCTGGACATCATCTAGCACTAAAGTGCTCAAAAAGACAAATCCAACGAATCCAAATTCGATGCGATTCCGCCGTTTCGTTTAGGAGTTCTTATGCATTGTCATCGTACTTACATAGGTATACCAAATTTCAGCTCAATCGGTTGAAGAGAACTGGTCTTAATTTCAGTTGCAAGATTTGTCCCACACATACTAACAAGTGAAGTCAATATAAAGCTTGTAATAATAATAAAAAGCTTGTAATAAAAAGTTTGTAATAATAAAAATTATAATAAAAAAAGCAACTTTTTTAAAAACAAGCTTTATCCTGAAATGCAGTTGTACTAAAACGAAAAAATAATTGTATGCTAGGTTCAAAGAATTTCGAAAGCTTGTATCGCGCATGGAATTTATTCCTCCTTTTTCTGTTTGCACTACAAGCTTTCGAAATTCTTTGAACCTAGCATACAATTATTTTTTTCGTTTTAGTACAACTGCATTTCAGGATAAAGCTTGTTTTTAAAAAAGTTGTTTTTTTATTATAATTTTATACACTTTTTAGTTGTAACTGTCTCAATCTCTGGGCCCTGGTCATCATTTAGCATAAAAGTGCTCGGGAAGTCGAATCCAACGAACCCAAACTCGATAAGTTTCCGCCGTTTCGTTTAGGAGTTCCTATGGCCACCTCCTGACTCCATCATCAGCCCAGCTCAATGGTACCATAACATTGCATTGTCATCGTACTTACATAAGTATACCAGCTCAATCGGTTGAGGAGAAGTGGTCTTAAATTCAGTTGCAAGATTTGTCCCACACATACTAACAAGTGAAGTCAATATAAAGCTTGTAAAAAGCTTGTAATAAAGCTTGTAATAAAAGTAACATTTGGTCAGCCCGTTTAGTGTAGTGGTTCAGAACGGACTAGTACTATGCCGAGAGGTCCCGGGTTCGATTCCCGACCGGGCAGAAATTAAATGATGAATTTTAATTTCTGTGACGGGTCTGGGTGTTAAGTGTATGTAAGTAAGTAAGTAATACATGTAGTTATAACGAAATTTACCCTGCCGCGGCGGCACCAAAGAAAGGTAATTTGTTAAAAGAGTGGCTTGCTTTTTGAGCTTTGAGGAGAAAGCTTTTTGGCTTGCTTTGCGATGCGCGGTGCAGCGATAAGTGGTTTATGTTGTTATTGTTGTGGAGTTCCCTCCGCGACTGCTGCGCGCCAGTCAGCTGTCTGCGGCCGCGAGCGAACGCGCCACGCGCCAGTCGCCCGTCACTTCGCCGGCCAGTCTCGTGCCAGCTCCCAGAGTGGGAGGTTGCGCTCCATGCCGGCTTAACTCCGTCGCACGTGTTCGACATCGCCCGCGTTCTGTGAACATGTTTTCTACCAGTGCTCATGAAGTTGTGAATTATTTTGGATACCGAATGGTTGCAAGCGGTTAATTTAAAGCGAACTTTAGTGTTACCGATTTCTTGACGCGGAGATATGAGTATAATATTGTCATCCCTCCAAGACCGGTGAGCGCCGGAAGCACGACGAGATGATAGCGACGTGTCTCGTCGTGTGGAGCCTTTGGGGCGCGGCGGCCGGCGGCGCTCGACCGGCGGCGCCGGCCGTGCCGCGCTGCTGCCCCGCCGGACAAGAGCTCGCGCCGGACGCGCTGCGCTTCGAGACGATGGCGCGCTCGAGCGTCGCCGCCGCCTGCCAGCCCGCCGCCAACCTCACATGGGAGCCGCTGGTGTACGCGCCGGCCAGAGGTACCTTCCTGCCCCGCGGCCAGCTGCCGCAGCACTGGAAGCTGGCGCAGGCGGCGGTGCCCGCGTGCGACGAGCTGCGCGCCATCCCCGAGCACTCGGCGCCGTATGCGCTGCTCGCCAACAACGGCTCGCTGCTGCTGCGCAGCGCCGCGGCCGCGCTGCCGCTGGACCGCTACTGCGCCGACGGCCACGCCGTGCTCGTGTGCGCCGCGGACGCGCCGCGCCCGCCCAGCAAGTGCTGCGCCGAGACGCGCGCGTTCGACGGCACGCGCTGCGTGGAGGACGAGGCGCGCGCGGCCGAGGCGGCGGAGGAGCTGCGGGCGCTGGCCAACGGCAGCGCGGTGGGCGGCGGCTGGCCGGCGTGCGCGGAGGGCGCGCGGTTCGCGGTGGCGGGCGCGCTGGCGGGCGCGCGGCTGGGGGCTNGCGGCACGTGCTGTACGGCGCGGGGCTGGCCGTGGGCGCGGCGTTCCTGGCGGCGACGCTGGCGGCGGGCTTCGCGCTGCCGGCGGCGCACCACGCGCTGCACTGGCGCTGCCAGACGCACTACGTGGCGGCGCTGATGCTGGGCGACGTGCTGCTGGCGGCCACGCAGCTGGCGGCGGACCGTGTGCCGCCCACGCTGTGCCGCGCGTTAGGTGAGCCGACGGTGAAGTCTCCTCGGGATTGTGCGCTGGTGGGTGACGTGGTGCTGACCGTGATGTTTGTTGCATGTGCCGCGCCGCAGCCGTCTGTATGCACTTCTTGTTCCTCTCGGCTTTCTTCTGGCTGAACACGATGTGTTTCAACATTTGGTGGACTTTCCGGTGAGTTATATTTAGTAATATTTGTTTAATTAGGTACACCAACTAAGGCCCAGTTTTTTTATTCATAGTTAAAATAACTCATTGTTGAATTTTGCTACTAATGGTTAAATAATAACAAAATTTTAACTAATAAGTAGTTAAAAGATGTACTAAGCTAACCATTGTTCGAAAAAAAAATCTGTTATTTATACCACTTGTCATTTGACATCTGTCAAATTTGACTATTGGTTTAACTGGTTTAACTACGAATCAAAAAACTGGGCCTAAGTTACATTAGTCATTAGAAAATAAGATTCTATTTTCTTTTTTGTGGTAGTTTTGTGTTATCTTCTAGCACGTCATGAACGTGATTGATAAATGATTTATTTATTTATTAATTTTGATGTATTAGAGCTCTTCGTAGGTCCTATCTACTCACCAAATGTTCGATGAAGCGTGGTGAAGCTGAATAAGCCAGCTACGGTCAGTTTTACAAAAAAATAAGATACAAATCCTACTAATATTATAAATGCGAAAGTTTGGATGTCTGGATGTTTGTTAATCTTTCACGCAAAAACTACTGAACGGATTTTGATGAAACTTTACAGTATTATTGTTTATAACTCAAAATAACATAATAGGCTATAATTTATGACGATCTGTGGAAAACTAAATTTCACGCGGGTGAAACCACGGGCAAAAGCTAGTGAGACTATAAAGGTTAACTTCAGTTATTTTCTTTTCACTTCTTTCGATCCTTTCATAGGTAACGGCTGAAGTTCCTTGTTCGCGATTTATGTGCTAGCCATTACCTACCTATCGTACCTAGGTAGGCAAGGTATACCTACAAGGTATTCGATGCAGAACATTGCATCCTATTCAATAGTTTTAATAATCTCCTCATTTTGTGGTAGGTAGGTATTTGAGGTTGTCGATTTCGAAAGCAACTGCCAACTACTTAATGAATAATACGATACCTACCTACTTACTTAAATGAAATTGTAATGGTAACTAACTATTAATTAATATCATAATACTGCTTGTGCTACTCTGTAATAGGATTTTTGTAGTTAAAGCTGGTCGAGATTCAATTTTTAAAATTAAATAAATTATAAACGAAAGAATAGGTAGGCTATGGACATGATGTTTGTTAACATAAAAAGTGTTAAATACATAATGATACCGAAAATATCCTAAAACTTGGGGCGATATCATAGAGATAACTGTTTTTATGTTTTCACACTGCCGAAACATCTGCGAAAGATTATTATCTTTGGGGAACTATGTAATTTTATCTTTGACTGGAACTATTCCGCTCTCGTTATCCTATGAACGTTCCCGAATCGACCGGCGCGTGGCTCGTGCGGGAGCGCGGTAGAGTGAGGCTAACGGCGCGGCGCGGTGGTTGCAGCGACTTCCGGCCGACGAGCCTGGAGCGCGGGCAGGAGGCGTGGCGCCTGCGCGTGTACATGCTGTACGCGTGGGGCGGGCCGCTGCTGGTGGCGGGCGCGGCGGCGCTGCTGGACGCGCTGCCGCCCGGCGCCGGCGCCGCGCCCTTCCTGCGCCCGCGCTTCGCCGTGCAGCGCTGCTGGTTCTACGGCGACATGGAGATCTTCGTCTACTTCTTCGGGCCCGTCGGCGTGCTGCTGCTCGTCAACCTCGCGCTCTTCGTCTCCACCACGCGCCAGCTCACCTGCGGCCTCTGGCGCCGCGACGAGGTCAAGTCCACATCGGAGAGGTAGGCATGATGCGTCGCCTTACTTTATTGATAATGATTACAGGTACACGTGCGGTACGGTCTACGAACCGTGTCAACCGTATCACGAGTCTAGCTGAGACAGTATCTGACCGTCGTGGTATGGTTCCAGGGCCGCGCTGGGGCGCGTGTGCGCCAAGCTGGTGGTGGTGATGGGCGTGACGTGGGGCGCGGACGTGGTGTCGTGGGCGTGCGGCGGGCCCGACTACGTGTGGTACGCCACGGACCTGCTGAACGCGCTGCAGGGCGTGTTCATCTTCCTGGTGGTGGGCTGCCAGCCGCACGCGTGGGCGGCGCTGAAGCGCTGCGCCGCGGCGTCGTGCTGCCGGCGCTGGTGCGGCCGCGCGCCCGCCGCGCCCGCGCAGCGCGCCACGCACTCGTCCACGCACCTGCCGTCGTGCGGCGAGTCGCTCACGCACACCACGGCCGCGCCCGCCGCCGCCGCCTCGCCGCCGCCGCCGCCCAAGATCCCCATGGAGACAGTGTGCTGAGCGCCCGAACTTTTCAATTGCGATGGACGCTCCTACGTATTTATTGTTCAGTATTATTTTTATTTTTGTATTTTTGATGATGATTACGAGTGTAGTTTCGTATGATACGATGTACTGTGAACGTTTTGAAGCCGCCTGGAGGCTCCCGTGTAATCGTAAGTCACGTTGTACCTTTGTACGAGCGTCGCGTACACATTTGTATATGTATGTTATTTGATTGTAGATATTGTACGTATCTAAAAATCTGTAAACCTGACGAGGCGTCGGGGTCGCTCTTGCCCCGTTTGATTGGCTGTTAAACAAAAGTAACAAATATATTGTGAAATTGATCTCTGGTGTTTGATTGATCTTCCCATAAATACCCCCATACCAGACGGCGATGGACACGAGTGTTCCGGGCGCGAGGCGCGAGCGCGGGCGGCGCGTTTATATCTTTTGTTCGCACGTCCTAACGCTGGTCGCTGCGACATATTTTTCGCAAATTCTATTTTTTAGTTGTAATTATTTGAAAGAATACTTGCACTTCTGCATTAGTATGTCCAACAACATTATTTAAAAATATACAACATTTTGAAAAGAAAAAAACACTAAACTTATTTTAGGATTGAGTTTACTGTCAATCGTTACGATTTCTCTGGGTTCTCGATAATTTGGGATTAAATGAAGCAAAAACAAAATAAAGTTCACAAATAAGTAATCCAGTTACATAATTCGGTTAAAATAGTCAGTCGTGGACTTGGGTCGTGGATGATGTTTGATTGGAATCCGCGCGTGACCCGCCGCGTCATCGGTCGCGACACGGGCACAAAGAACGTTGCATTATCATCTTACACTTCTTGCTTCAGTTTATGGTTTGTTTGTTTGGTGTTATTTTTCTTCATCGTGCTCGATAATGACGTATTGGTTAACTTGTATCTTATGTAGGTATAGACACCACAGTAAAATAATAATTGGTAGGTATACTTTTTATTAGGCTTCAAATTACGGATGTTTAATAATCTTATAAAGAATAAACATGCAGCAGTGAAGTGAATACGTGTAGATTGTGTAGTGAGAATTTCGAAATTCGTTAATTTGTTATATCATCAATCGGGCATTCGTCATACTGACTCGCACCGAGCAGATAAAGACGGCGACGGGAGGAGCCGGGGAGGGGGGAGGGGGACTTATCGCTAACAATAGAGAATAGCGACAATAGCGATTACAGACTAGTATCGTTTAGTAACAATTCGTTCGTAATCGAGCATCACAACAGCAATGCACGGATAGCGGCGAGGAGGGGACGAGAGCGACGCATCCATCACGCTGCGTCCGCGCAAATGCATCAATGCTATTATTATGCTACCCACGTAGAGAAGACTGCATGCTAAGTTTTCAATTAAGTGTATTCAATGATACTTATTTAAAAAAAACTGTATTTGAAACTGAAGTTAGGGCTGATTGTTCGTTTTGTGCTGTGAACTTGAGAGCTTGGAGCGGGCGCGGCCTTGTCGCCGCGAGTGTGTTGACCGCCCGAGGCCGCGGGCGCGCACGGCGCACCCGGCCGCATTGGTTGCCCGCGCGCACGCGCGACATAATATGACACTCAAAAGCTTTCCAACGTAGTAGTGTGCTTAGCGCTTACCCCGCCTCTTTACATAAAACAGATTGAAAGAGGTTGAAAGTGTTAAATCTTATAAAATTCTGAAATTAGTTCTAACTCTACTTCTCCACACCATTAGTCTCCGATTGAAGAGATATTTCATCGAATGATAAGTTACTTATTTCATCAAATAGCTTCGTTCTGCCGACTTTCTGCTTATCTACGGCCAATTTATTACAAGGTGCTGAGCAAACCGGTTTGGCGCGTCGGGTGATCGTTCCCCCGCCAGGCAGGTAGGCACAGCCACGCTTTAGCACAATGGGCTTAGAAAGTACAAGTATGTATCTATTTACGTGGGGTCTGGGGTCCAGCGCGCGGCGCAGCTGCGTGCTTAAATTCATGAAACTTAAAGCGCTATCTCGTGAATGTACTTAGTTAATCTACTACCTAGTGGCGAGGAGAAATTTATAAGTTCAGCTACTTAAAATAGCCTTCAATATGTTCAGTGCAAGAACTACGCAGAAAGCATAACTACCTATTCGTAATGTTCAAATCACTGACATATGTAGTTTCAAACTCTGTTTCAGTAAATTTTAAACACAATCTAGTGTACATGGGTACAAAATTGCCAAAATTATCATAATCAGCCTAGCAGTGTAGCAGTCCATTACATCTCACTCAGCAGCACCATTCGTCCTAACTGGTAGAACGTATTGATTTTAAAACTCGTATTAACTTTGTAAGATAGAGGTAACGAGATACTTGACGCTCCTACAGGAAGAAGTGTTTCGTACTCTACTTCGTTCGTTTCAGCCGAAAGACGTCCACTGCTGGACAAAGGCCTCCCCCAATGCCAGGGCCAGAGGTCGTCGGGGTTGGTAGCCTGTCGGTACCCGGTGATTCTTAGCACCCCTCTACTTACAAGAATTTAATTATTCTGAAATTGACAAATGCCCAAGCTATTCTAAATTCAGTAAATCAATTCCAGCTTTGAGTGAGACGCTCTGGATGCTCCGCGCGAAATGGCGGTCAATTGGCAATAATTGCATGCCCCAGACGCTGCGCACGCGCGGACTTCTACCTACCTACATATTAATAAGCTTCTTACGTCCAACGATGTTTGTGTAGCACATCTGTGCTATCATCGTACTTATCTAGGTACGATGCTTAAATTATGGTGCGTGTAAGTCACTTATCAGCTACCTAAGTGTGAGTATACTTACCTAGGCACTAACATAGGGTATTGAATCGAATTGTTACTTACCTACTAATTGAACTATAAACTGTCTGAAATTTTCAAGTTTTTTTTCGTATCGTGGTACCTTTTTTTTTATGTGATAGGAGGCAAACGAGCAGACGGATCACCTGATGGTAAGTGATTACCGTCGCCCATAGACACCCGCAGACCCAGGGGCGTTACAGGTACCTATGCAAGATACCTTAAAAATGCAATGAATGTAATGTAAAACGAAAAGGTCGTGGCCACGCACCGATATTATTCTGCGGCGGCTCTCCGGCTCTCCGCAGGTGCACGAGCCGCACGAGACGGGTTTGTAGGTACAATATGGTACAACAATCGACAGATCTGACTACACATTTTTTTTGCTAAAGCACCTATTACAGTGTATTAAACATACACAAGACTAATATTAACGTATCGGTAAATACTAAATACCTATCGTTCGTTCGTTCGTTTCAGCCAAATGACGTCCACTGCTGGACAAAGGCCTCCTCCAAGGTTTTCCACAATGCACGGTCCTGTGCTGCCTTGCATCCAGGCTCTTCCCGCGACCTTTACCAGATCGTCGGTCCACCTAGTAGGAGGCCTGCCCACGCTACGTCGCCACTCGAGAACTTTTCTGCCCCAACGGCCATCGTCTCTACGAGCTATGTGCCCCACCCACTGCCACTTGATTTTAGCAATTCTGCGAGCTGTCGGTCACTTTGGTTCTCCTATGGATCTCCTCATTTCTGATTTGATCACGCAGGGAACTACACAACTAAATACCTATAGATAGATATAATAATTAGTATGGTGGGTAAATGAATCTAGGCTTAGATAATATGTTAGATTAGAGATCGTGCTCTTTCATATCATTAAAGTGAAAAAAAAATTTATTGTAAACTTGAACCAATTTCATGCCATCGGATGTGATAAACAATCTTGACTGCATCAATGCGCTGCTGCGGATCGCCGCTATCCGCGGTTGATTTGACGTGACATTCGATGAGATGATAATTCACGGTCAAATTATATTTGACCAAGATCTTAAGCGTTCCAAATCAATAAAAAATGATGTAAAGATGTTATTAGTAAAATGTAAGGCAAGCTCGTCTGCTTAAGAGAACGCGTACCTAAGTTTCCTATTTAACTACCTAGATTTATGTATTAAGTTCTTAACTAAACTTTATGAAAATCTTAAACATTTGCATAAATAGCATCATTTCAGTGCGGCACACGGCACAGCTTGCAGTATCATTCTACGAATAGCGTATAGGCACTATGTGTGTGTAGTTCAGGGCGAGAGTCGCTTTCACCACGACCCAGTTGCGCCGGCGCACATCCGCCGCGGAATGCGCCGCACAATGCCGACGTGCGCAGTCTTTGCGCTGCGCTGGCCTCAGTAGCGCCTGATAAATCCTCGCATTCTTTGCCCATTATTTCAAGAAAGGTTCGTGGAATTGCCAGTACTACGACATGTTATCTTGTTCTGACAATCTATTGTTGTTATTCATGCGTTATGCAAGTACTACTGACATCTCTTAAGTGTTAAGTAGTAGGTACACTAAAAGACATGGCCAAGCTAAAATATACACAGAATCGCTAGAAAATTCATAGATGCAATTTATGTAGGTATTTTTTATTTTTGTAACTATAAAATTCTCTCACTTTCGAAAAAATGGAATATTGTACTTTTTTACACAACATCTTGACAGTGGATGACAATTGACAAGATTTTTGCCTATCTAGGCTTTATTACAGTATAGTGCTTAGTAGGTACGCAGTATGAGCCCTGACTGAGGAACCAGTTGCCGCCTGCGAGGTCGCTCACGCCTGTGTGAGCTCGCATGTGTGCGGGCAGTACGTGCGGCCCACCTCGCTCTCGACATAACACACCGAGCGAACACGCGGAATGCCCCCAGGTCCTCCCGCCGCGCCTTTCGACGGCCCTGCTGCACCTTTACTTAAAAAGTCACGTCTCGACGCTACCACAAGTCCTCACCAGACTCACCAAAATGTGCCAAAATTCTGCTCCTTTATGCAATCCATAGCCGGGATTTGTCTACACAAAAATAAGTATGTAAATTGTTTTTGAATGAGTCACCGTTAGATTTACCGCATAATGCGTTGGCCTGCCAATTGTACACCTTTTATTATTTTTTATTTATTTATTTTCCATATAAATACACACAGTAAACATTAATATTTTCTGCCAAACTGTGACACAGTTTGTCGGCAGCAGTNCGTCCGCGTACATATAAGATCTGCAGTTCTTCAAGACATTTGGCATGCTGTTTACATGCATAATGTAGCCAACAGGTCCATAAACCGAGCCAGTAGGAACCCCAAACATGATAGTCCCCTCCCTACTTTCCCTTCCACATACACTCACTCTAAGCTTCCTCTCTCTTAAATACTCCTTGAACCACAGATTGATTGGCCCCCTGATCCCACATTNAGGTATCCATTGGTGACGACTTTTCACATTGTCAAGTCTCTAGTTGACTCACTCTAGTCTCAACTCT